CTCGCTGGCTGCGCTAGGGGGATTCTCTCTACCTGCGCCAGCTCCTCTTAGCGATGCGCTTTCTGCTGCTGGAGCGCTGCCAGTAGCGCGCTGCAATATGTAACGCTCAATTTTTAATTAGCCCGGGGGGCGGGGGTAGCCCCGTTGGGGCCGGGCAGGGCTAGCCCGGGGGGAGGGGAGAGGGCTGGGTGTAATAGCGCTGGGGCTGGGCAGGGCTAGCGGGGCGGAGGGTAGCAGCCCTGGGACTGCAGCATCTCTTGGAAGTAACGGCTACTCTTCTCTTTTCAGACACGTTTCCCGAGATCTCTTTGAATAATGAGAAACCCTTGGCAGAAACTAGCTACCCCAATCAGACAAGCAGGCTGCCGCCTATAACCTACACGGGCCGCTTCTCTCTGGAACCAGCCCCCAACAGCAGCAACACTCTCTGGCCAGAGCCTCTGTTCAGCCTTGTTAGTGGGCTGGTGGGCATGGCTAACCTACCTACCACTTCTACACCTTCTTCATCACCAACCTCCTCATCCTCACAGACCCCGCCCCTGAGCTGCTCTGTACAGGCCAGCGACAACAGCCCGATCTATTCAGCAGCACCAACATTTCCCAATTCTAGCTCTGAGATTTTCCCTGAGCAGCAAACCCAGTCCTTCTCAAACGCTCCCAGTACCTCGCTCCAGTACCCTCCCCCAGCTTATCCGGCTGCTAAAACCAACTTCCAGGTGCCAATGATCCCAGACTACTTATTCCCCCAGCAACAGGGGGAATCTCTCAGCCTGGTCCCAGCTGATCAGAAACCATTTCCAATGCTAGAAACCAGACCCCAGCAGCCGTCTCTCACACCTCTCTCCACTATCAAAGCTTTTGCTACCCAGACTGGCTCCCAAGATCCGAAGACGCTAAACACTACGTATCAGTCCCAGCTAATCAAGCCAAGCAGGATGAGAAAATACCCCAACCGACCTAGCAAGACCCCTCCTCATGAGAGACCCTACGCGTGCCCAGTGGAGTCCTGTGACAGGAGGTTTTCCAGATCTGATGAGCTGACCCGGCACATTCGGATTCACACAGGACAAAAACCTTTTCAGTGCCGTATTTGTATGAGGAATTTCAGCAGAAGCGATCACTTGACCACTCATATCCGAACCCACACTGGGGAGAAGCCATTTGCCTGTGATATTTGTGGTAGAAAGTTTGCCAGAAGCGATGAGAGGAAGAGACACACTAAAATTCACCTGAGACAGAAGGATAAGAAAGCAGAAAAGTCAACTCCAGCCTCTACTGCATCTCAGATTTCCACCTACTCCTCCCCCCCAATGACAACTTCCTACCCATCTCCAGCCGCCACCACTTACCCTTCTTCAGTGCCTACATCTTATTCCTCCCCAGTGTCTTCTTCCTATCCATCTCCAGCACACACCACCTTCCCTTCCCCCTCAGTAGCAACTACATATCCTTCTGTTACTGCCACCTTTCAGGCCCAAGTATCTACCACTTTCCCCTCTCCAGGGATTACCAATTCTTTCAGTTCACAAGGGACTTCAGCACTTTCAGAAATGTCATCAACTTTTTCTCCAAGGACAATTGAAATTTGTTGAGACTGTAAAGACGGAAATATAAAAATAGCTGATTGGTACTATCAGACTGAATGGAGTCTGTCCGTTACTAAAGAACATCATACGTAGCAAGGCCATCCTAAGTTTTCTTTAAACTTCAACTGCCTGAAACAACTGCCATTTAAGTTCTCCACTTCTATCAAAAGACTTAATTTGCATGGACAATGGATATAATTTCAATATAATTTTCCCCCATAAACATTTTACTGAGAGAGGAACTTTTATTAAATACATAGACAATGTAAAATGTACATGTGTCATGGTATGGTTTTGCTTTCCTTTGGGTACTATTGATGATGTGAAAATTCTTTGCGTATTCATATTGTATTATTTGGAGTTAGCAGGCCCATATTTTGTAAATGGTAATTCTATTTTAGTGACTATGCTGTAATGAGTTTTAAACTTATTTGAGAACAGCACTTACTATGTATTCAAGCATGTAAGAGTGATGTTTTGTAAATATCACCTGATGAGACACTCATATGGCAAAAGTTTGTTTTTAAAGTTACATGTCTTGGTGCCTTTTTGTGAAGCCTTGCTGACGTCATGCATTTGTGTGAATGGATGCTTTGCATCTAGCCTTAAGGTGAAAGGGATTTTATTAAAAGAATGTAAGGGAGACTGGTGGGGGGGGGGGGGGATTGAGAAGGAGCTAGAAGACAGAATGTAAGCAAAAAAACCTCTCAAAGTCTATTTTTGTTACTGAAATGTAAATTTATAAATATATATTCAGGAGTTGGAATGTTGTAGTTTACCTACTAAGTAGGCAGCAATTTTGTATGTTATGAACATGCAGTTCATTATTTTGTGGTTTCTTTTTACTTTGTAATTGTATTTGTTTAAACAAAAAGTGACTGTTTAGCTTATAAACACATTGAATGCGCTTTACTGCCAATGGGATACTTGGTGTACAATACCCTTCAGAAAAAGTAAATAAAATATCAAAACAGTGCATTTTTTCTTTAAGGCTTGTGTGTGTGGGAAACATGCTTTTACCCATATCCTTGACTCCTTCCCCTCAGTTAAAGATCTGTTTTTTCCTCAATAGATTTGTTGTAACTTCCATGGAACTGAGCTAGGTGTCTCTGCAGTGAGAAGGTGAGATGTCTCAAGAGCTGTAGCAACCTCATTTAATTAATTGGGAGTAACTGGTGTTACATCTTTAACTATTTAAGAGAGGATACAGAGCATGTATCATAAGTTATGTGTACTACCCACCATTTGTCAAATATCTACATAAGCCTTGAGCCTGGCTGCTCACTTGGATGGAAGGGTCAATTGGTTAATTCTGTTTAGCCAGAGGGTAATATAGAAGAGAATCTTAGTTACTGCTTGACTTCAGGTAAAAAAAAAAAAAGTGAAAAAACAAGCATATTGCTTGGATTTATAGCTAGTAGTGAATGGGGAGGGGCACAGAATATGAGTGAGGAGAGGGAAATCATTCCAAAGGAGCTGGGCAGATTAGAAATATGGGAAGGTAATAAAATTATATATAGTGTGGAAAATACATTTTGAATATATGTGGGGGGTGGGAATAATTTTAAATCAGAGTCAACTGATGGAAGCCTACTGCTAGTAGCAGCAATTTAGCTAGGTGTTTGTACCAGTAAATATAACAGAGCATTTCATTCTGGTCACCCCAGTGCAGAAAAAAAGACAATGTGGAGAGAGACTTCAGTGAAGAGCAATGAGGTATTCATATGATAGTGACTGGTGCCATAGAAATTAATATAACTAGAGAACTGGTGTGATTGAGTACTCCTGCCACTAGTTATTAATCATTGTGACTGCTGTACGAAAAGATCTCAGAGTAGGGCTCCTAGAACTAGGCTCAGTGATTTTTTTTTAAATGTATAGAACTATGCCTTGCAAGAACTCAAGACAGATAGAAAAAGAGTTCAAATAAGTACCCAGATCTTCAGCTGATGTAAATAGGTGTAGCTCAATGCTGCTTTACCCAAGCTGAAGCTATGTGTGATCATTAGTAGATTGCCCCAGCACACCAATGTTATACCAGTCACCAACCTTCTCAAGAAAAGTGAGGTGCTAAAGAAGGTTGTTTGTAAATACCACAGACTAAGACTCAATTGAGAGCATAGCCCCATGTAGAATGTATTGGAGATGAGTCATCCATTCTGGACGTGAACTCTACACCTTCTCACCAAGTGTAAATGAAAACAAGTACAGCTTCAAACTCAGCTCCATTCACTCTTTGAGGGAATCTTGTTTGAGCTACTTCCTCAGCTCTTGCTCTGGAGGACTTAAAACTCCTCAGCATTTGTCTAGCATTCTAGACCATTGTGACAAAGTGTAAATCTACTTTTTTGCCTGTTTCCAAGGTAACATTGTTACACTGACCATAGATCCTCTTTCATTTTCAGAATTAATCTGTTTCTTAATGACACCAGATCAGGTGATGCTTTGCCCCTTCAAATACCAATCATCTATAATTTGCCACTATGGAGCTGTAATCTAGGGTATCATTAGTTTTAAGATTTAGAACCATCTGTAGCTTCAGAGCTCACCTCAGTAAAATCCTATATTTTTTGGTCAGAGTGTTTGTCTCTGTCCCAGCATCTAGGGGTGGGGGTTCATTCTAGCTGTCTTGGTCACAAATCTCTCTTCCTGGGAAGACAGGGAGGTTTTAGAGGATTGTTTACCAAAACAGCCAATCTGTAAAATCCACTGACTGACTACTCCTTTACAGGAAATGAGTTGTCCTTTCTGGGATTCTCTGACAGACAAACTTAGGCCTGTGAGGCAGCTGAAGTTTGGTCTGCTGTACTGATGGCTAAAGATCAAAGAATGAATTTCTTCCCATGGTGAATTTACTTTTTAGACCCAGAGCCAAGGCTACCCACAGATGATCACAGAAGCATTTCCCTTCAATGAGTCACTGTGGGAGCACTCCTGGTGTTGGCAGTGCATGAACTGGGGGGAAAATGCTATTTACCTCCACTTTCCTCCTCAATTTTCACAACCATTAACCATAAGTGGTGGCCTAGGAAACCACTTATAGCCCCTAGTCTAATCAATGGTGTGAGACATGGATGTATCTCTTATACCTCCCAATATGAACACAGGTGATGGGCATTACACTTGTTTTACCCAAAGTACTTCTTCTGTCTGAAGGTGTAAAGCTAAAAGGTCTGGAAAGCATTTTGTCATTCAGTATATGAAGAGAGATTTCATGTCTATGATATACCTTGCTTGTACATTGTCTGCGGTTTGCTTTCTGGATCAGCTAGGTTAATATTTTTGAATCTTCTCCCATCCTAATTCTAGATGAGGAAAATCCTGCTCTTGCAACCATGTTGGAACAGTATGAACCCAATCAGTGGCTCAAAAAGATTGTTTCCAGTGGAATTCCCAGGTTATCTGAAGATGCCAAGCTACAAACTGCCATCTGTTTAAAAATAAAATCTTTATTTCGAGAAGCACATGCAAACCCAGACGTGAGCCCCGAGGAATGAGATGGGAACAGAAGGAAGGTGCTAAAAGTCAGCATAGGCCTGCAGTAGGGCTGGGACGCTCTAGACACCCACAAAGAGCTGGTCGGCTGCATTACACGCAGCTGTTCATCACTGAAAGCCAAACTTCAGATCTGGCCATCTAATGACAGGAAAAACCTTGCGTCATCCCCATCCCAACAACTTTCGCTGTCCGGGAGGGGGAGGGGGATCCAGCCCTGACGTGCCCGAGCTCCATGGCGCGGACACGCGGGGGCAACCCCGGGCTCCGGCCGCGGCCTGCCCCCATCCCCCGCGCTGAGGAAGGAAGGTGCCGCTTCACAGCGCACATCCGGCCCGGGCGGGCTCTGGCTGAAGTGCGCGTTAGGCCGGAGCTCGCGGCGGGGCGGAGTCGTTCTGCGGCTCGGGCCCTGCTCAGCGCCCCGTGGCCGGCGGAGGAGCCCGCCGTTTCCTTCGCCAACCCGGGGCCGCTGCTCTGTGCGCCAGCCCCGCCAGGGGCAGTAATCACGTCATCTGGCCCGCGGCCCGGCCAAGGCTGAACAGAAGCGGCACCCTTCGCTCCCGCAGGAACTGCACTGCCATATATGGCCCTTCCTCCGCTCCTAATATGGCGCTTCCTAGGCCCATACAAGGCGTTTCCTTCCCGGCGGCGCCGGCAGCCAGGCTCGGCCCCCCGAACCCCGAGCGGCGCCCAGACGGCCCCGCCTCAGAGCACAGCAGGAGGAGGTAGGTTGAGCAGCGCGCGGCGGCCGCGGAGCCCTCGCAGACCCTGCAGTAGAGGCAGCTGCTTCCGGTGGGGACCGGGCCTGTCAGGGGGGCTCCGAGTCTGTCCCTCGCAGCCTTCGAGGCAGCGGTTTGGGTCTCTGCGGAGTCTGTAGCTTCAGCGGTGGCCGCTCGCTGTCTCTCTGCAAAGGCCACTCCACACGCAGGCAAAGGATGGACGAGCTGGCTTTGGGCCTGTCAGTACTAACTGCCCAGTGTCTGAAAGCAGGATCCTTGTACGTTTCTTACTGCAGGATAGGCTGTTCTGCCCTCGAGCTCAGCCCCCTGCTTTAATGGGGGAAGCTAATATTATGCAGAAGGAGAAAGTAGTGGATTTGCCATGTGTGTTAGCCAAATTTACAGAGTGAGTAAGAGGCTGGTCAAAGTTTGTATATTTTTTCAGCCCAGAAAGGACAATTGTGATAATCTAGTCTGATTTAAAAGGGATAATCAATGTTTTTATCACCATATTTTTAGCTGTGCAATGAAACTAGAGAGAAGTCAGGAGGAACCATTTTTTCTTCTAATGTAAGCGTTTTAAAATATTTGCAGTGTAACCCACTTCACCACCACTGTCTACTTGAATTTGAGTGTGGTTTTAGGTGGGTGTGGTTTGTTCTGTGAATAATAGTTCGGGGCCCCAACAGCTGTGGCAGTTAATAACTGGGTCTGTGGGGTTGCCCAGGCTGATAATATAGTTTGGCTTTTGTTAATTTAATTTTATTATGTAAATAGTTGTTTTCCGAAATAAAAGTGTTTGTGGCTTTACATTCATATGGACTCTTGAGTGGAGAGGAAATAACTGTAAAGGTGTGACCAGGAGGTTTTAAGTGGCAGCTTGAGCCAACTATTTTATTTCATTTAAATAGAAGTCCTAGATCAGGGGTTCTCGGGACAAGCTTCTTGGTGGCCTCAGAATGTGGCCACCAACTCTTGCTGGTGGCCGCTCTCACACTTTTCCCTAAAATACTTGATTAGCTTTAGGAAAAGCAAATAAATATGCACATACACACATCAAAATTATTGTAATTTATTTATTGCTAGCTAGTAAGTCAGCTGTGAAAAGTGATATTAACAAACATACAAGCATCGCTTTTCACAGCAGACTTACTCAGCCCTGACAAGCCTTGGGGACAAATTAAGCCCTGGATGGAGGGTTGGGGGAGGCAGTGGGGGCCAGGGAAGATGGGGGTGAGGGGCTGGAGCTTGAAGCCCTGCAGGCAGAGCCTGATGCCCTGCAGCCAGAGGACAGGGTCCAGGAATGGAGCCTGAAGCCCCGTGGCCAGGGCCTGGTGCCCCCCACACTCCCATCCTAGGGCTGAAGCCCAAAGCCTAAGTCCCACCACCCCTGGGAAGGTGAGGAACTCACTGGCTGCCTGCTCCTCCAGCGTTGTGCCCCAGGTGTCCCCAGAAGGGGTCAGGGCCCAACCCCTGCAGCTGGCCCCAGCATCCAGGAGCAACAGAGTGGGGGAGGGGGCTCTACTTTGCCCTCCCCCCCTCCATCACAGTCCAGGAGGCTGTGGCCGCAAGAAAAGTCCCTGGTAGCCACATTTCAGAAACGCTGTCCTAGAGGTTATCTGAAGCTGGCCGTAACTCCTGCTAAAGACACCTGGAAGAAGGGTTACATTTTGTAAAGGGCTTGGAGGTCTTTGGATGGAAGGTGATCTATAAATAAAATGTTTTGTCATCATTTATTGTTATTAATAAAATGACTGAACACAATCTAACCCTTCATTCTAGCTGTGAGTCACTAAAATGAAGGACAAATATTCTGAACATGTACATTTAATTAATTCTTTAACTTCAGAATGCATTGCTTAAAGCGTGTTGCTCAGAATCTTTGCAAGGGATGAGTATTACATAGGTTTTAGGTCTTCTTGAATTGTAAACTCTTCAGAGTGGGCCATCTGTGCCTAACTGCTGACCGGTAATAGACTCATGAACAAAGGAGACATAATGGATAGTGAAATGGTAGGGGCTCTGATACTATTGCGAGGATGTGATATAAAACCCTAGACAGATTGATCACTACTTAACTTTCTTCAATAATGACCATTCTTAATTCTTGGATCTGTCAGTGGTGGAGTGGGCTTATAAAAATTGTACAGTAAGCAGTGTAACAAACTGAAAAAGACATTGGGATGAACAAACTATTGGAGTCATACTGAATTGCACTTGATAGAACAGTGACTAGTTGCTGGAAAGTGGGTGCTCTTACACTGAATAAGTTTGATCTTGATTGCTTTCAGTTTAAGACCATTTTTGGACAGTGTTAGTCTGAACAGCTGAGGATACATGAGAATGCATGGAAGTGAAGTTTATGTGCTTCAAGAAATTAATGTTCAGCAGGTATTATCATGTACCCAGTTAGGTATTATTTTCAGTCTTCCCACAATGGAATCAGAACCGTTTTTAAACACAGTTGTTGCTAAAAAAAAAAAAAAAAAAAATCTAGTGGTTTTCTACTCTTGCTAGAGAATGGATTTTCTTTTGTCTGAGAACTAAATTAGAGCTATGTTTAAAAAAAATTATGTTATGGGCAACCTGATATAAAGGTAGGGATAATTTACAGCAGGTTTCTGATCTCACTGGTCAATTTATTTACTAATAGTTTGGAGGAGCGAAAAGAAAATCAGGGACGTTTGCTAAGGACACTTGTTTAGGTAAATACAAACTATAGAAGATTGTAAGAAGCTCCAGGTGCATTTAAATGAGCTGGGAATTGGACACCATGATGGAAGACTAAATTAAATTTTGATAAGTGTATTACAATGGGGGAAGTAGTTTAAATTTCTCATATACCTGATCGATTCTTAACTTGTAGGATTCTCTCAGGGGAAAAAAATCCAGATTTTGCATAATCTCCTGTAACTGCAATGGATTTAATTATATCCAAAGCTGTTTGAGGTAATGAAATGTATCTTTTCTGTTTAAAATCTTGTTAAAGAACTAAGTAAAATTATGAAGCTGTGTATTTATTAGCACAAATAAAATAAACCAAATAAATAAGCTAAATACACAGAAGGTAATTGTTCTCTTGGCACTAATGTGGCTTCAGCTGGAGTACTGTGTCCAGTTCTGGGCGCCACACTTTAGGAAAGATGTGGACAGAGGAGAGCAACAAAAATTATAGATTGATGAGGAAAAGTTTAAAAAGAAAACTGGGCATATTTAGTTTTGAAAAAAGAAGACTGAGGAGGGAACCTGATAACACTTCTTCTTCGAGTGCTTGCTCATGTCGATTCCAAGTTAGGTGTGTGCGCACAGTGACCGGAGATTTTTTCCCTTGGTCGTACCCATCAGGCTGGCCCTAGTGCCCCCTGGAGCCTCATGCTCAGCTTGCCGCGGGCCCTGTGCCCTCTCGGTTCCTTCTTACAGCCCATGACGGTTGCTGGAACGTCTCTTGCGATTGCAAGCTCCCCAGTGTTTTTTTTTTCTGACTTTCCTTGGGCATTCTTGTTATAAATAGTTGAGAGTGAGTTAGGTAGGTAGGTGTCCCATTTGGGACGTTGTCCCAGGGATGGGGCATGCCCAAGTTCCTGGGTTTCAAACTATGTGCTGCCTACTATAAGTCCAGGCCAGTGAGTGATCCACATACAAGCTGCTTGAAGTGCCTCGGGGGAAGCTCACATCAAGGACAAGAAGAGAATCTGCAAGTGCTTCAGGCAACGCACTCTTAAGGACAGGGACACTCGTTTGAAGGGCCTGTTAATGGAAGCAGCACTTAGACTGGCCTCAGAGCCGTGCTGATCCGATTTGGCTCCGAGTATGTTAGCCTTGGTGCAGAACGCTCCCTGGCACTGGGCCCTTCCCAGCGCTGCTCCCATACCCCATGCTGAGAAAGAGGCATAAGAAACAACATGCCGACAGGGGGTGGTCCCTGGGGCTGCAGAGGGGTAGGCAGAAGATGGTTGATGAGGTGAGCCCTGTGCTGGGCCACTCATCCTCCCCAGAGCGGTGGTTGGCGAGAGTAAATTGAGGTAAATTGAGTTTGAGACCCTGACTTAGAGTGTGGTCAGCGTACTTAAAGGGGCAATGCACATCATTCACACTCATGCTCACGGTGTGTGTCTCTGTCTGTCTGCCATGCTGTCTCCTCTCCCTCCATTCGTGCTGCCTTGTAGAGTATGAGGCTACATTAACAACAGTGTGTTAACCCTTGAGGTCTCAGCCAAGTTCTAGTTAATCATTTAGCAGTAAGGCATTCCCTGGGAAATATCCCACCCTCTGGCTCCACCACCTCAACCAAGCTTCACAATCATCATTGTTGTGTACAGTATTAAATAGTTTGTTTAAAACTTATACTGTGTGTTGTCTGGTGACAAAAATTTCCATGAAACCTAATCCCCCCTATTTACATTAATTCTTATGGGGAAATTGGATTCGCTTAACATCGTTTAGCTTAAAGTCGCATTTTTCAAAAACATAAATACAGTAACTCCTCGCTTAATATTGTATCTACATTGTGTTAACAATGCTGCACACTAGAATGCTTTCAGGCAACCTGAAAAAAGAAACCCAGAACTTTGTAAAAACACTCTAATTTTTGGTAACACTGGGAAGTTGGAAACCCAAGACCTAAGAAGGGCATTAGGCACACTGCCTTCTCATTAGTCAGTGACTAACCCTCTGGCAGTAATCTAAGGGGGGAGGTGTAACACTACACCCTATATTCTTCATAGAAATATTGTTATATGATTATAGCATAACAATAATATGTTTTGTGCAAGATAAGGCATGTGAGATATCATTGGAAAGGTTATAATTTGCTGAATATGATCCTATTTGTGTGTATGTATAATTTTTGTATCTAAAGTTAGGAATATTGACTGTACATCTGTACTACAAAAGTGTTTGCACCTGGGGAATGCCCACCAGACAGAATGCAATCAGTCTGGCTGGCTACCTGGGGACCAGTCAATGAATCATTAGGGGAGAACAATAGGTCTTTGAAGATGCTAATCTCCCACCTTCCTGAGAAGCTTTCTTGGGATGCTGCAAACACCTTCTGACTCATGGCTGCTTTGCCACTGCAGGATCATGTGATTGTCACCTGATACTGGACTCCATGATAGAATGCCAGTATTTTTCCACAGGTGGGTGGAAACCACACTGGAAAACAAAGGATTCCCGCCATATGTAAAGCCTATTTAAGGCAGTGGAGGGACATAATCAGTATTTATTCTTCACTGGATCCCCACCCAGGATGACTGCAGGAAACATCTAAGAATCACAGACGAGAGGGGAGGGGAAGAAGGACTGAGCCCAGGCTGGGAAGGTATCTGGCCTGTGGAAAAGAATACCTGGAGTTTTAAGCTGCAAGCAAGAGCAGCTTGCCTTCAAGAAACCCTGCAATCTGCCTAAAACAACATTTAGGGTCAGAAACTACTACTTGTAACCAGTTTTTCAGTATCGTAAGCTTATATTGTGTTTTTGTTTTATTTGATGGGTAATCTGCTTTGATCTGTTTTCTATCACTTATAATCACGTAAAACCTATCTTTTGTAGTTAATAAACTTGTTTTTTTCTCTAAAACAAGCCCAGTTTGTGGAATTCATAACTGAGGGGCAAAAAGCTGTGCATATCTCCCTACAAATTGAGGGAGGGATTTCATGCACTAGCACTGTACAGTTCTCTGTGCAGTGCAAGACAATACAATTTTGGGTTTACACTCCAGAGGCGGTGTGCACTTGAGTGCTGGGCAATTCCTGAGCTGAAGCCTTCCCATGCAGTGCTCATTTCAGTGTCTGTGTCTTTCTGTAGCTGGGTGTGTCACTACTTGTCACGCTGCCTCATGGCCTTAATGCCTGGATGCCAAGAGAACTATAACAGAAACTGCCCTCTAGCTAGTCAGTGACTAATCCTCTTGCAGTAAACTAAGAGGGGAGGTGTGACCGTCTGTACCTTGGGGGAACACCCAGCACTCCCGTGTTCATCTTTGTAAAATGATTGTGTGGTATCCAGTGCAAAGTTTGTCATGTCAGGTGTCTTCAGAAGGCTCATGATGCACTGAGCATTGTTGTTACAGTGATGTGATAGTAATTGTTGTTATAGTGATGGGATGTTATAGGTTATAATTACATTTTCAGCATCATAACTATATACATGAATCTTCATGGCTTAAATCAAGCCCAGGAAAAAAACTCTCCAAGAGCAGAGAGGCAGTTCACACGTCATCAGGGCATGCATGGGACAAACCCAGCCCAGCCTCACAGGAACAAAGGACGCTGGCCTAGGCAGAAACAAAAGGATCTGTTGAACTCTCGAGTGAGTCACCCCCCTTCCTTTGGTCAGTTTGGGGTTACGATGAAGTAATGCTCACCTCGCTCTGACGGGGGGCGGGCAAAGCCAAGAGGGAAGAAAGAAGGGAGATAAAAGGGAGAGACGTTTGCCATGCTCTTTCTCTCTCTCCCGCCTTCATCTACAGACACCACCCACCACCAAATGACTGAAGCGCTGATCAAAGGGGAGAGCCTGGCTGAAGGGCAACCAGCCAGCCTGTGGTGAGAAGCATCTAAGTTTGTAAGGATACTGAAAGAGTTAAGATCAGCTTAGAATGCATTTTGCCTTTATTTCATTTTACCAAATCTAACTTATTATGCTTTGAGTTATAATCACTTAAATATCTTTGTAGTTAATAAATCTGTTTGTTTGTTCTACCTGAAGCAGTGCGTTTGGTTTGAAGCATGTCAGAGACTCCCCTTGGGATAACAAGCCTGGTACATATCAATTTATTTGTTAAATTGATGAACTTATATAAGCTTGCAGTGTCCAGCGGGCATCACTGGACGCTGCAAGACGGAGGTTCCTAGGGTTGTGTCTGGGACCGGAGATATTGGCTAGTGTCATTCGGTTGCACAATCCAAGGAGCAGCTTACATGCCAGAGGCTGTGTGTGAACAGCCCAGGAGTGGGGGTTCTCACAGCAGTGCAGGGTTAGGCTGGCTCCCAGGGTCCAGGATTGGAGTGACCTAGCAGATCACCAGTCCAGATAACACCAGAGGGGAATGTCACACTTATATTTAATTGGGAGCCAATGTGGGGCCTAAAATAGGTCTTTGAATTAAAAACTGGGGCTAAAAATTGTGTAACTGTATAAAATATTTTTCTTTTAAGACAAGGTTAAACATTTTTTAACTGGGAAGATGACTGAAGCTGGTCAGGCCCAACAATTAAAACAGAGCATGTGTCTTCTCTGGAGGAAGGCTGGTTCGTAGAAGAGTGACCTGCCTGTAAACCAAGATACTCAGTACTCGCCTGGCTCCTCTTATACGTTGCTGGGTTTGCGTCACTGGTCATTATTTTCTTCTTCTCTGTACTTGATCTTGGTTTCCTTCAGAGAACATGGGCATCCTAGCAAGGAATGGTTGTCTCTGGGCATAAAGAGAAGGGAGAGGGCTGATAGTCTCCTGTGAGCCATGACTATTTTGGATGCTGTTTTTCACAGTACAGGAGCATTCAGCTGTCCCTTCATTGTAGCTATGACTGTATGGTGGTGTGTCATTGGGTGGACTGTCAGATCCCTTTAAAGAGGTGAGAGCGTGAGTCTGTGCCGTTGCAGTCTCTGGAAATATCTCTCCTTTTGTGGTTTGTTTCCTGCCATAGGAGGATCTGAGACCTGAGAGATGAAGACCAGACAAGCCCACCCTGTTTGGTGTAGGTGGCTCCAGGCAACAGTGGTCCAGCTGATAGCAGAACAGTTGCAGGTATCTCTGAGAGAAGTGTTCACTTAGAGCCTTTGCATTTAGCCCTTCTAACTGGAGACAAGTTCCTCCTGTGCTATACGGGACTGGGTTACCAAGAAAATGTTCTTGACTACCTACATCTTCAGGGGGCAGGGGAATATAGATGCTTGCAGGATGGGGAAGTTAATACCCAGGGCAGGTTGTAATATGTCTTATCGAGAACAAGCTTGGACCAGATGGGTGACGAGAGCAGGGGTTCTCAAACTTTTTGTATTGGCAATCCGTTCCATACAAGAAGTGTCTGAGAGCAACCCCCTTATTAATACAAAACAGATTTTTTATATTTAACACTATTTTAAATGCTAAATTTATAATCCTAATGTTGAAAATCAATCTACCTTTTCTCTCCACTTTTAACATTTTATCACATTATTATAAGCAGAAAAAATATTTTTTAAATTAATACTGTTTAATACTGGGGGGTGCACAAAGCAACTTTGTCATTATCATTTTTCACAGCAAACTTAATGCCCTATTGCCACCATTACTTCTGTGGTGCTGCTGACCTCGGTTCTTCCTCAAGAGCTGGGTGGCTCTGAAAGTAGGGACACTGCCAGCAGCTGTGCAGCGGTAAGGGTGGTAATGGGGGGCTAAGTCTGCTGTGAAAAGTGATATTTACTGTGTTTGTTAATATCACTTTTCACAGCAGACTTACTAGTGCAGACTTCACAGCAGACTGACTAGCTAGCTGGGTGGCTGTGAAAAGTTATATTAAGAAGCACATTTTACAGTCTTCCAGCTCTGAAGGCAGTGCCATGGCCAGCAGCAGCACAGAAGTAAGGGTGGCAATGGGGAGCTAGAATGTATGCTGTGAAATGATATTAATAAACATACAAGTATTACTTTTTGTAGCAGAAGTCTGCCATGAACCCTGCACTAGTAACTCTGCTGTGAAAAGTGATATTAACAAAAATACAAATCTCACTTTTCACAGCACTAGTGAAGACTTCACAGCAGACTTGCTAGGTAGCTGGGAGTCTGTGAATCGTGGTATTAAGAAACATACAAATATCACTTTTTACAACAGACTTAATGCCCCTGTGATAGTGTTCACCCCAGAAAGTACTGGGAGGGGTTAAGGTGGCCAGGTTGGCCAGTTAACTCCACAGGTGGCACCTGGAGGAGGATCCAGGGAGAAGGGATTAATTTGAAGCAGGCTCACCTAGTCAGAAACGGGAGGGGCCAGTGTAAAGCCCAGGAGTTGAAAGGAGAGGGAAGCTGCTGGAGGAAGGCAGGGAAGTAGGTTGCAGTCACCTCCCTGGGTGGAGGGAGTTGCGAGGGTGACAAACCCAGAGAGGGGGAAACCAGATAAGTAGGAAGAAGCCCAGGGAGACAGCAGCAAGGGGTAGGACTGTGCAGAGACCTTGGCTGCTTGTTACAGTGTTCCTGGGCTGGAACCCAGTGTTGAGGGCAGGCTTGGGTTCCCCTACCGGCCACTGGGAAGTGGTAAGGGCATTGGAGATGCCATCCAGTCAACGGGTCTGGAAGAACTTTGAATTCCCTGGAAGGGGAAGACCTTGGTGACCTGGCCGGAGGGCCAAGCCATGAAGAGGAGACTGCAGTTCCTGGAGCGAGAGAGGGGCTGCCTATTAGAGGGAGAGACAGAATGACCTCATTCCTCTCACGGTTGGGAGGGTTGATCACAAGAGCTAATCCCCACAGTTATCAGGAGGAGGCGCCAGACTGGTGGTGGTTAGTGCACCCTGGGAGAGCCCCACTTCCACCCTTCTCCCCTGCTGCTGGCAGCAGCACTGCATTCAGAGCTGGGCAGCTCTGAAAGCACAGCTACTGCCAGGAGCACCACAGAAGTCAGGGTGGCAATGAGATGCTGGTAGGTCTGCTGTGAAATGTGATATTGGCAAAGGTTCTTCGTGAACCTCCACTGAAACAGATGCGTCCCCTGTTTGCACACCACTGGTGTAGCCACCTGAGCCCCCTCACCCGCACAAGGATGGTGCTGCTCCTGACTTCCCATAATAACCATGACCTCCTGAGTGGTTATGACATCCAGTTTGAGAATCCCTCTTTTGGAATGTGACACCAATCGTTGTCTGCTCAGTGATTTATTAGTAGGTTTTTTTAGTTCGTTTGTGTCAATAGCCCAATGTAGATGGGGTGGGATCATGTTAGCTACAGGTGCTAAAGTGTTGGGCTTTGACCAGCCAAGTGACCCATCATTGTTGACTGTGTCTCTGTTAATCTAGTAGGTGTGCTGTAGTGCAGATGGGAGTGAGAGGGCAGACCTTCACACTCCAGCACAGGTTTTGGGTGGTGATGGCTCTTTCTTGGGTTATTTGCTGTGTTTGCAGAGGACTTGTCCAAGTCAGTGGAGCAGCCCAGCCAGATGTGGAGCTGGAAGAGGAGGACCTGAGCAGCCTGGACAACCCACTTGGCAGGGGACTGAGGATCCCAAGAGTCCTGCCTGGCGGTGACAGTGGTGGGGGAGGAGCAGGTGTCAGTTTTTCTTCAGGTGCAGGTGTCAGTTTCCTTTCCTTTATGTCTCTATCAAGTGTTTGAGTAACCAGAACCCTATCTGAGAACAGAGAGATGCTTCTTGTTTGCATGCAATGGGTCCTGGGGAGGGTGGAGCCCTGCCTTTGGCTGGGAGCATCGCCTTGCTCCCCAAGACTGAATTTGACCTGCAACTAGGGACACTCTGGTATTCCCAGTCTGCCCTTCCACATCACTGGGTGTGAGTCACTGGACACAATGTTGTTTACCTTGGCTATACTCAATTTTCTCTTCCTTCAGCGCAGTGGCTCTGAACCTTTCCAGACTACTGTACCCCTTTCAGCAGTCTGATTTGTCTTGGGTACTCCGAAGTTTCACCTCTCATAAAAATTATTCGCTTACAAAAACGGACACAAAAATGCAGATGTGTCACAGCACACTATTACTGAATAATTGCTTGCTTTTTCCATATTTTTTATTTTAATTTTATGAAACCTGTCATATTTTTTATTTTTACCATATTCTAAATCAATTGGAATATAAATATTGTACTTACATTTCAGTGTATAGAGCATGGAAGACCCCTGAAAGACCTTGCGTATGTACCTCCAAGGGCACGTGTATACCTATTTGAGAACCACTGCTTCAGAGGACCTGAGTATCCTGGTCAGGCATGGGATTTGTGGGCTGGGATGGGGATAGGGAGAGACCTGGTGGGACTGTCGTCGCTTACCAGTGCTGATCACTTCAAGCACTGGCTAAGCTGGAGGAGAATTAGGGGACGGGGGTTCCAGGAAACAGAAGCCAGGTGACCTGACTCTGTGTGTCCTCCACATACAAATGCTGGCCTAGGCTATAAGTGTTCTTGCTTTCTATACTCAGTTCCTAATGGCACTGGGTAGATGAGAGAATGGCCAACCTGGGACAGAGACCAGGAGAAGGAACAACCACCCTGAGCCCATTCAGCAGAATGGAAACCAGACTCTGATCTGTGTGTAGGCGCAAATGGAAATTTGCTTAATCTAAGTACTGAGAGGGCTGCAAATGTTGTCTGTGGAGAGACATTTGTTATATTAGCATAGGCTGAGTCCACGAGAAAAAAGTCCATGAATCTGACTGGGACATGTGAAGGTTGGGGGAGCTCTTGCTTCCCTCTCAGCGAGTTGTCAGGGCTCAGGGAAGGGAAAGTAATAGTTTTCCTGAAATATGATTAACTTCCAGGAGGGCAAATTGTCTGTAACCAGAGATGTTCAGTCCTCAGCTCTCTTCCTTCCATGTCACTGGGTCTGAGTAACTGGTCACTGCACGCTGTTCCTTGTTTGTACTGACTCTAGCTCCTTCGGAAGATGTGAGCATTCTGGTGAAGTACAAACCTCTCTGGGATAAAGGCAAGGTGAAGGGACAATAGTCTGCTGTGCAGCATGAGTACTTTGGGTCCAGGAGCAGCCAGGTGTCTCTTTATTTAGCTATTACTGTCTTGGGTGAGTGGAGGGGTGTATGTAGGAAAAATCCCTTGGAATAGCAAGTACCTGCGCTAAATACCATTGCAGTATCTGCCCACTTTCTTCTTGGGTTGTGTTTTCTGCAAGGGAAAACTGGTGGAGGATAAGTTCAGTTCTGTCTTGTGATGGGGCAAGTGAGACCAGCCTGGCCTCAAGATAGATGCCAGGCAATACCGTCTGAGAGGAAAGTTGCTGTTGCTGTCACTAAGTAAGTGTCTGGTAAGGCTATGGTGACAGCCCTGGTGATTACAGAGAGTGGTGCTGCCTTTTAGCTGGGACTTAGTTTCTCATAAAAGGTTCCCAACTAGCCCTGAGTGCAGGGGGAGAATTTCTCCATCCTGGGACTGCTGATCTTCAATGGCAGGGAGGAGTGTGTCCTCCCAAATAGAGAGCTGGAACCAGGAAGGTGACTACAAGTGCTGATTTTCCTGCCTTCCTTTTGTTTCTCTCTTCTGTGTTGGCCAACATACTGTCTCCCTGCCTGTCCTGCTTCTGTCTCCCTTCATAGACTTGTACACCTGCCCATGTCCTGTGATTCATACATATAGGGGTGTCAAGGCTAATTCCCCACTCTGGCACTTCGAGTGCAGCAGGTGGGGGTCTGCAGGGATTCTAAAACTTAATACTGGTCACTCTAGGCTTGTATTAAACTCCCAAGGTTACAGCTTCTCTCTGACCTTGGATGGGTAGACGCTGTCACCACCCAAGTGCAGAACCCCTTTGAGAAACCAGGAAGGCGCAGTTGGGAATTCCTTCCTGTGGGGTACCCTCAAGCCCCCCCCCCCCCCGCCCCAGGGAAGAGCAAGGGGAAAAAAAAGAGAAAGAAAGAAGGAAATCAGCTGTTGCCACCAGCTAATTAAACCACATGTGCACAAACCTCTTAAAGCACAAAAATCCAATTTTGTTCTTAAAAAAGGTAAATTTTATTAATAAAAAGAAAGAACTTAGGTGTTTGCTAGATTAAAAAAAAACTACAAGGATTAAGCATTAAGAATAGATTTCTTGAGGTCCATCTTAAAGGTTAAAAGCAAAACAAGAGCACCGGGGTTAGCATAGAGGAATCCACAAGCCATAAAGAAATAAAAGAGAGAAACTTAATTGCGTCTTCCTAGACATATCCTGATCTACTTACATATCTGAGGTTTTTAAATAAATAGTCTCAAGGTATGATACCAATGATTTTTTTCATATCTGGCCCAAGCTCTTACAGCATAGCTCTGTCCTGTCCTCTCCCTGGAGAACAACAACAGACAAAAGGGGAGTCTTGTTTCAATTTTAAAAAGTTCTAGCTTTCCCATTGGCTCTTTTGGCCAGGTGCCCACTCACTTCCTTTCACCTATGCATAGCAGTGAGACTTTTTAACCCCTTTACAGGTATAGCAATTAGAGAACTGCTACTAAGAGGGATTTTATAGCTACTGGCTGGCTGGGTGTCCACAAAAGGGAGCTATCTCCCCCCGCCCTTTCATTTATCACAAGGAGTCTATAGCTGTCTGTGCAGGGGGGTGGATAGGGGTCATGTGGGGAGAAGGTGAGAGAAGGAGTTGAAGCTGCTGCTGCCTCTGTGTATCTAGTGTAGCTCCCCACCAGGCCCTGATGCCTCTTGGGAGTTGTAGTCTTCTTTGTCCTTTTTCTAGATTATGGGGTCCTGTGTACTGCTTGGTACAGCTGGACATCCGCTCAGTGATTGATCAGTGAGGTTTTTTGGATAATTTTTGGAAACTTATTCCCCAGACTCATCCTGTCCCATCCCATCCCATCCTTGTTGCAGCAGCAGCCTGGTCCCCAGTAGGAAAAGTTAGCTTAATGAGTACTTAGCTTTAAGTGACTTATGTGTAGTGGCTAGTTGCTGTGAATGGTCCTGTGCCTGCAAACACTCAAAGGATATGCATCTAATGTTGTGCACGTGCATAAGTGTCTGCAGGATCAGGGCCAATCCCTCTATGAACTCAGTCGTGTAAGGACAGACCTTTGCTCCAGGGTTAAACTTTGTTTTCAAGCACTTTTTAAAAACTCCAGATTATAAAATCTGTAGCATAACCATGTTTTCCAGTAAAATTTCGTTACTTAGTATGTGATACTGTTACAGCACCAAGAACAGTAGCCTTGAAAGTGTGAGCAGTGACATTCACAGCCCCAGCGGGGATCATTATGTGTTAGTTTAGTCAGGCTATGTTAACTGATCTGGAGGGCTTTTCATGCTGAGATTGATAGGAAGGAGGTTATAATCCTCAGAATTTTACATCTGGGGAAACAAACATTCTTATCACACTTACAGACTTTCTCCAAGGAGTAAGAATGTAGTTATCTTTGTGTTTAAAAAACCAAAAAAACAGTTTACAGTGGTGGACTACAGTTTGGCAACTCTAATTCAAACACATGCCTTTTTTGAACAGTGACACGTAGATAAGAATGGCCATGCAGGTCAGATCATGGTCCATCTACCGCCGTATCATGTCTTCCAACAATGGACATGCCAGATGCTTCAGAGGGCATGAACAAGGGAATGAATTACCTAGTGATCCATCCCCTATTGTCCAGTCCCAGCTTCTGGCAGTCAGAGGTGTAGGAACACCCAAAGCATGGGGTTGCGTCCTTGACCATCTTAGCTAATAGCCATTGATGAGCCTATCCTCCATGAATTTAGCTAATTCTTAGTTATATTTTTTGCTTTCACAGCATCCCCTGGCAACAAGTTCCACAGATCGCCTGTGCATTGTGTGAAGAAGTATTCATTTAAGGGGTTCTGCTGACACTTTGGAGGAAAGAGCTAAAATCAAGGGATCTTGATAAATCAGAGAACTGGATTATAGACAACAAAATGAAATTCAAAGACAAAGATAAGGTGCTACACTTAGGGGAAAAAAACAATCAAATGCACAGATAGGGAATGAGGGATAACCGGCTTGGCAGCAGCACTGCTGCAAAGGATCTGAGAGTTGTGGTGGATCACAACCACAACATGAATCAGCAATGCGATGCTATTGCAAAAAAGCAAATGCAATTTTAGGTTGCATTAATAGAGGCATAGCATACAAGTCATGGGAGATGATAGTAACACTCTACTCAGCGCTGGTTAGGCTGGAGTACTGTGTCCAATTTTGGTCACCAATTAATAGAAAGGATGTAGAGAAACGGGAAAGGATCCAGAGGTGAGTGACAAAGATGATCAGAGGGATGGAGTGCAAACCATATGAGCAAAGGCTGAAGGAACTGGGTATGTGTAATTTGGAAAAGAGATTAAGGAGGGACATAGCAGTCTTCAAATACTTGAAAGGCTGCCATAAAAAAGATGGAGAAAAGTTGTTCTCTCTTGCCATAGAGGGCAGGACAAGGGGCAATGGATTCAAACTACAGCATAGCAGATTTAGATTAAATCTCAGAAAAAACTTCCTAACTGTAAGAACAGTGGAACCTACTCCATAGGGAGGTCATGGAAGCACCTTCACTGGAGGTTTCCAAAAGGAGGCTGGATAGCCATCTGTTATGGATGGTTTAGGTACAAAAAATCCTGCATCTTGGCAGGGAGTTGAACTAAATGATCTTTGCGGTCCCTTCTAATCCTGTGGTTCCAAGATGTACTTTCTTTTAAACCTCCTGACTATTTATAAAAAGAAAAGGAGTACTTGTGGCACCTTAGAGACTAACCAATTTATTTGAGCATGAGCTTTCGTGAGCTACAGCTCACTTCATCGGATGCATACTGTGGAAACTGTGATGATCTGTGTGTGTATATAATATCTGCTGCAGTTTCCATGGTATGCATCCGATGAAGTGAGCTGTAGCTCACGAAAGCTCATGCTCAAATAAATTGGTTAGTCTCTAAGGTGCCACAAGTACTCCTTTTCTTTTTGTGAATACAGACTAACACGGCTGTTACTCTGAAACCTGACTATTTATGTCATTGGGTGACCCCTGGTTCTTGTGTTATGTAAAGAGGTAAAGAACAGTTGCTTCCAAGGGAATTAATAGACTGGAAGTTTAAAGCAAACATAAGGAAGTACTCTACATAGCTAATTCATGTGTTAACTGTGGGAAGGATAGGTCCATCAATAGCTCTTAGCCAAGATGGTCAGGGACCCAACCTCATGCTTTGGGGTGTCCCTAAACCTTCAATTGCCAGCAGAATCTGCCACTGTCCTATACATTGACACTGGACTAGTTGGACCATTAGTCTGACCCAGAATGGGTGTGCCTATCCTCTAATTCCCCTAGAATCTGCAGCCTAGATTTAGGTGTCTGCATCCTTCCTCCCTGTACAGCCAAACCCCACCTGCCCCCACCCAGCCTCCAGCTGGAGCTGCAGCCCAGGGCCCAGCTGAGCCTGGCAGCCAGCCACCCAAACACATGGAGACCCTGGTGACTCAGGAGTGGGAAATGTGCCCCCATCTTCTCTGTAGTCACTATGGTGTAACAGTGCCATGGTGGGTTTCAGAGTAGCAGCCGTGTTAGTCTGTATTCACAAAAAGAAAAGGAGTACTTGTGGCACCTTAGAGACTAATAAATTTATTTGAGCATAAGCTTTCATGAGCTACAGCTCACTTCCTCGGATGCATTCAGTGCCATGGTGCTATCTCCAGGGTACAAAACTGGCTCAGCGTGGGAGATGAGGCTGCGATAGGGATGTAGCATCACAAATTGTAACATCCCAATTTCCTACCACTAGCAGACAACTAGGGTGTTTTTTCTGGGGGTGGGGCCTGCCCTGTCACCACTTGCTACACACACAATTTTCCAGTCCTGGGTCTATGGGGGTGGGAGTTTTGACAGATGGGTTGGACTTTGTCAGTATTTCAACTTGGGCGAAATCTCTATTTCAAATGGGGACACTCATAAAATGAGATTTTTCTAATTTAATACATTTTTTGTAAATTAGCAAAATCTTGTTTTACTTGTGTGTAAATTTTAAAAAGAGATTTCACAGGAGCAATTGCTGTCTGCCCCTCCCCTCATTCAGAGGTAGCCATTTCTGCCAACCAGCAATTCAGGCACCAGTGAAGTCACATGACCATGATAATGATTTGTTTTTTAATAATGTATTAAATATGGTAAATGAGTCACAATAAAACCCTAGGAAGTGTAATAAGAGTAAGATATGAAGGTTTATTGAAAAGTAAAGAATTAAAAGTTATGAAACTCCATTTCCTGGAGATAATGAGAAAGGGTGGCCAGTTCAGGCAATTGGCATAGCAGAGCAGACCAATTTGTGAACATCTGTGTAGCTGTGTCACATGTATGTGAACATCTGAATGAAGACAGAGTATTTAAGGAGTGGGGTGTATAGTGGGCGTTTGGAAGCTCACTACATCATTTCAGAGAGGGAAGAGCAGCCTTGTCTAGACCTTCCTCCCCCACCCCCACCCCTTCCTTTTGCCCCTGTTACTTCACATGGTGAGCTCACTCCAGCACCCTCAACAGCAAAGTAACAGATTCTGCTGGGGAGCATTTTCTAGCATTACAACTCATCAGTCACTCTTTGGCTTCCATCAGACCTGAGCTACCCCAACACACTCCCTGTCCTGAACTTTACCCGAAAAACATGCTGTGCCCTGTCCAGCCCACTCAGGGACAGGCCAGATAGATTAGGTCTGTTGTACCTCTAGGAGGTCAATACACAAAAATTTGTCCCTTTTAATGGAATTATCCACATAGTTCACAACATTGGATTAGTTTTGATTCAAGGAAAAAAAAACAAGTTTATTTAACTACAAAGGGAGATTTTAACTGAGTAAAAGAGGCATACAAGTAAGAAATGGTTACAAGAAAAATAAAGATAAAGTGTTTTCTA